TCACCTGACATTGCGAGATGACATGTTTATGAGAAACAAAGTGCACGAGCTTAACTTCTTTCACAATTAGAAAAAGGAAAAGTCCACAAAACATCAATCTCTAGACATCAGAATTTTAAAATTATGCGATTATGGTAACGTTATATTTATTTTTAGAGGAATATCATATTTAAGGCATGATGAACTGAATATTTATTACTTTATTTTTAAATTTTATTTCATTTTAATTTAATCAGCAAATATAAAATGAGATATATACAAAATTAAACAATAAAGGAATTTCTGCAATTTTGAACATGCTTAAAATAGTTTTTACGCTGAAATGTCTCTAATCGGATCTCCGTATTGATTTTAGAAGTTAATCTCAATATTAGATTGTTCAATCTTACTTATTTAAAATATATTTATGAATAGAAAAGTATTCTAAAACAGTGTTTTAAAATTTGAATATTTTTAAAATAATGTAGTATTGAGATTTGTTAAAATCAATCGATAATAATCAATGACTTGATTTTAATAATACTACGACACATTAATGAATAAAATAGATCGTTTGCAACCTTTATAGCTCTTATATTATAAAACAAAACGATAGAAAAATGTAAAAAGAAATTTATTGATCTATACTTAATCGTTTGAACATTTTGATTTTAACTTTTTACTACTGTTATGGAATCTTTCTTCTGAATAAAACAAGTCGTTAAAAATCAATCTATAATTATGATGTGATATTAAATATAATCATTATTTAGGTTTTATTGTATCATTAAACAATTTAAAAATGTTCAAAATTAATTATGTGCTACCACTCATCATTTCATCAACCTGATAAATTGCAATATACACTTAGTAGAATTAATTCGGATAAGTATAATTGAACATTTTAACTAGAAAATTTATTCAAATAATAAGATATACAAGGTTTCTATAAATAAAATTTGATATTACAAGACTAGATTTAAAAACTTTTAAAAGTTGAACATATCGTTATTTGAAATTTTAAAATGCCTTTCAATTTTGAGTATGTTATTATTTATCACCGAGATGCCTATTTATTATTATTATATATTTTTGTGTTTAATATACGTCTAGTATACTGCATTCGTCATATAATTTTTATATTAAACTGTATATTACGGTTTATATTTTAGGACCTTCCTCCAGTAAATAACTTCACGCAAGTAGTTGTCGCCAACCTCTATTCAGAGTAGAGCGGAACGGCGTACTTATTTTAGCTTATTTTATTAAAGAATGGTTTAAATCTATATTCATAAAATTATATTGCCATATTGAGTATTGTATTGTACTTACTGGAATATCAAATTCTTCAAACCGATTTTCTGTAATAAAATTAACAACAATGTTAGGTATTTGATTATTCTAAAATAATAATAAATAATTTACGTTTTTAATTTAGTAAAAAAGGCCAAATATCTCATCAATTAATTAATCACTATTCTATTTTTATTCTATTAACTAAATGTCGCGTAGTTATCGAATGCATAACCTGTACTAGATAGTAACATGCACCGGAACGAAGCATACCAGTCAACTGCCATTTGAAGATTAAGCCGAAGATTGGCTGCTTCTGTTTGATTATTTGTTCGATCTTCTTTATTAAGTATGCGATCATGAATGTTCCAAATTAAAGAGTCGGTGGGGGGGGGGAATGTGGGTTTCGACGACGATTTCTTATAACTGTACAGATGTAGTTTTCTTCAAACCCTTCTAAGAGAGGGAATATTTCTTCAGGAAACTCATCATATAATAAGTTTATACTATTGTAAAGGTCGTCAATTTTAACAAAATCATTTTAATATAAATTGAAAATTCTGCATCATTTTTATACTTTGAAAATAAATCCAGGTCACCCATTTAAGTCTAAACTTTTTTGTCAAATGAAATAAAAATCCATGAATTTGAACTTCAGGAAAATTATTTTTAACTGCTTTGATCGCAGCTTGCTCAAAATCGCAAGCAATTGATTTTTGTTTTAACAGGTTGACTGCCATGTAAGGTGAATTGGCCCAACACGAACTTTGTGTCGAGATTGTCATTATCATTTTTCATGGATTCTTGTATTTTGATTTATGATTTAAATAAAAAATATCAATTTTACAAAAAAATGTCATAGGACAATATTTCATTATACTACTTTGTTGAGTAATATTAGACCGTAAAAAGTGTGTGGGGCTTATATACCCTACATGGCCCATGTGGAATACGTAGGGTGATTAAACCCTACGAGACGAAAACATATTGTGTACCCATATTTTGATACTTAGTGACTTTATTGAATACCTAATAATAATAAAACAATATACAATAACTTTTTTTCTTTATACTTACGTAGTATGTACCATATACATTATTTTATTTTATTTTTATTGTGTTGATAAACAAAAATATAAACGTATGTACAATCTCAAATTTTATAAATTATTTTTATGATATGTAATAAAACAGTCTTTACATAAATATATATATATATTACATTCATCACAACGTGCCAAAACTTTTCTTGTCTTATTTTGTGCCGCCTTTCTTCCTAATGTTGTTGATATGGTTGCATAACATTTCTGACACATTCTTTTTTTTCCGTTTACGCTGGTTACAAGATTATGATTGGCCTTTAGTGGAATGGTTTTTGGAATTTCTGGTTTGTGTAACAGTGATTTAATAATTTCTTCTTTAAAAAACATAATTTTTATATTATTTTTTGTGACAGATTTAAATACAGATAAAGCGTTAACTACTGATGTTGATAATAAAATATCAAATGCAATTTTACGATACCATTTCAGTAATCTTTTCAGTGGAGATGAATACGATGCCATTTGGTCAGAACGATCAATATATGATTTGCCCATGTTATAATCTTCTACTGCTTTCGGTTTTTTAATTATACTACCTATCTGTTACGTATTTCTACAGTCTCGTCAGTGTCTTTTGTTGTGATAATATGTATGTCACGTTTTTCACGCCATTTTAAAACTACTATATTAGAATTATTTTGTTGAGCAATTAGCTCCCCTTTTTTTAATTTTTTGCCGATAACATCAGGTGGGTTTCCTCGTCTTTTTGCTCTTAATGTTTCTACCATATGGGTATTTTCTTTAATAAGTTTTTCCGCCAACTCCACACTGGAATACCAATTGTCGATATATAAGCAACGACCAAGATTAATATAAGGTTCCATCAGCTTTAATACTATTTTATACGAGACGTTGGTTTCACGAACTTCATTTTTACCGGCATAAATATTGTATTGTAAAGTATAATAGTCTTTAGCACAAAGTTTAAAAACTTTAATACCATACTTATGTGTCTTATTTTTTAAATACTGACGGAATGATAATCTTCCAATAAATGGTACCATGCTCTCGTCAATACAAACATTTTCCTCAGGTATATAACATTTTGAAAATTAAAGACTAACAAATCAATTAATTTTTGAATTTTACTTAATTTTCCATGTTCAGGATTTTCATTATTTGAACAATGGAACATGCATAAAATTAATTCGAATCGATTTCTGCTCATAATATTTGTCACATAGTTTTGATACAACAAGTTTTTTTTCCAATAATCACTCAAACTTGGCATTTGCACCAACCCCATCCACATTACAATGCCTAAAAAATTGTTCATCTCAGTTCGGTCTACTGGATACCATTTTTTTATGCGAGAAAATGTTTTAACACTGCGATTTACAAGCAATTGGGAAGCATGTCGATTAGTCTCTTCAATCAAAAAATCTAACACATCATCGTCAAAAAACAACTTATAAAATTCATAAGGTGAACAGTCTGCCATTGTTTGAATTATATCTGGATTTACATCAACATCCAAATTATTAGGATTAAACGATATATTATTTAGATTACCTCTGATAGGTCCCCAGGTTAATAAATCTGAATCACTTTGGTTATATTGAAATTTATTTTCGTCATTCTCCGCCTCCATGTCAACATCAATTTCTTCGTTTACTTCTTCGTCGAACACTTGGTTTTGGACATTTGGGAGAACCCATTCTGGATCTTCATCCGAGTCATGGACGAACTATTTAAAGTTTTTATTTTATTTTTAATACAGCATAGAAATATTTATTTAAATTATATTTTCTTACTATATATTTACCTCATAATCGTCATCGTCATCGTGTAATTCAGCATCGCTATCATTCAGCCAATCTTCAATTAATTGATCCATAATAGGTACTTATATTGTAAATAATAATCATATAATTACACTTACCACTTCCGTATTTTATTGTATAACGTATGACGGTTCGTATAACAGTGTTATTGTGATTGTCGACAATAACTAGTGACAGTCCACAGATAACATTTTAAATTGTATATGTTCAATTTATTTTAAAAATACTGAGCATCGATAAGAATATGATTTAATACTCGTTTATTTGGAAAACACGGTCCTTAAAGTAATAATAGATTTTATTTCATAAGGAAACGTTATATCTCAAAACCATTTTATAGAACTTTCAAGGAGGCCACGTCAAAGTATTTTTCCATATAAAACTATGTATTGCGACGGTTCTCAGAACCCTACGTGGCCTAGAAATATATTTTAATTGTAGGGTAATTGTAAGCCTGACAGTAAAATATACTATAGGGTCAATATATCCTACTCGACGATAATAGTAACTCTCGTATTTTTAGCGTGGCAGTCAACCTGTTAACCCGGGCTTTAAATCTAGTAGTATTTTAAACAGTCGTTCATACGTTTGATTTTTTTATCGGGTAAAAGAGCATTAATAGAGGATGAACGTCATCGACATACCAATTGGAAGACTGATATAATATTTAAATTTTGAGGACGACAAAAAATTTATAATTCTATCGACTCCAGGTCCGCTACTGTGTAGTAAAAATTGTTCAGTTATTATAAGTGTAGTCAAATCTTTTAGAGAATCAGGTGCCGCTTGAATTTCTCGTCGTATGAGTTTTATTTAATTTTATAAAGCTCAGTCAGCCGTTAAAGCTCCCTAAGATATTTAATATTAATTTAAAATGAATTCTCAATCTAAATTATTAAAATTTTTATTTTTACCTTTTCTACTTGTGATAATTCACTCACATATTTATTAATGATATTTGATGTTGGTTCCATAATCTCGCGTGTACCATTTTTCGTCTTAGTGACTGCAGAATTAGCTTCAACCTTAGCCACCTTTGAGTCATGGATCAAATATTCATTTATTTGTTTTAAATGCTAATAATTAAGACCATAGTGATATAATTATTCAATGTCTACTGATAATAAAATTAATGAAATATTAAATTATCTTCAATGTTTAAACTGTAGTATGAATTCTCGTCTTACACGAATTTTTGTAACGACGTCGCCAAAACTTTTTTTAATTTATTTGCACTAAATGCATCAAAAATATACATATACCCATTATGTACAAAATTTCATGTTAACGGAAAGTTTCCATTGCTTGTGCCATGGTGATAACCAACTACTGAATATCTTATTTCTTATATTATTACTCAATGATTGTATAACGATACAACGTATAGGTTAACTATATGCCTATATCTATATTAACTTAGACCGTAATAAAGATAATGTTCTGCAATAGAATATTCCCAATTTAACTTTTGTAAGTTAATATAGAGTTTATATTGTACATCTGCATGTATCCGATTACAGTGAGATAAAAACTGATAAATGATGTAGGTACAATATAATTAATGCTAACATTATTATCTAAAAACATATTATCAAAATAATATCGTGAAGTAATTTAAAGAGACAACGCCAAAATAGCCACGCCAAAATGTCCGGATCAGATGGAATTCAAATCAACGGTTCACTCAATAATACTTTGTGATTATTTTTATGATGAGTGATAAATTTATCGAGTTAAATATTGTAACATGGATTATATTTTATGCTATATTATAATAATTAACCATTAATTATGAACAGTTAATTCTCAATTTCAATACTATGCGATATTTAGTAAGTACAAACTTATATTATAATCAAAATAAATAATGTTCATTTATTTTAGTTAATAGTTGGTATTCGTTGAAAAAGAACGTTGATAGTTTACGGTGTTGTCTTATCTAAATTTCGTAGTAGTGATATTTTAAATAATTAAAACTTAAGTAATTATGTTGATGTGCTCTGTTTTAACGACGAAATATATGATAGTGAAGATATGAAATGCAATAGATGTAAAATGTTTTTACCTTTTGCATGCGCTGGTATTATAGAAGCCAATTTCAGAAAAATGAGTGCATCAAACAAAATTAAATGGTTTTGTGGAAATTTCAAAGAATTTATTTTGTTTAGTAGTTATAATATAAATGTGTTTGTTTAATCTGAATTAAATGTTATCTTAATAAAAGGAAATAAATTACAAATACAAATTAGGTTTTAGTGAAGGAAAATGAAGTTGTGTGTGGTGAACTTTAGGGAATTATACTAGGTCTAATTTTGTTTATAATGTACATAAATAGGCTATGAGCTATGATGTTGTCGAAAAAATTGTTGTATATGCGGATGATACATGTTTTTTATTATCTGCTTCTAATTGGGAAAGTCTAAGAAAAATGACGGAATTAAATTTTAAGAAAGTAATAAAGTTTTTAAATATTAAAAACTGTCTTTAAACTTCAACAAAACAAATGTTCATGATTTTTCAATAAATTATTTTTTACTATCTATTGAATGAATTACGAATGTTCAAATGGATCATTCTGTAACTGCCTAAATTTCAGTATTGTAAAAAGAATAAAATACAGAATTAACATTCGATTGTAACCTTAAATGTAACGTTCATAAAAATGGTTTTATTATAAAATTGTAATCTTGAGTATTTCAATTTCATAAGTTTAAACATATAATGCAATATTGTAAGGTAATTTGGGCTGGTGCCTTTAAAATTATTTAAGATCCATTGAGGGTTCATCAAAATAGTATAATTCGTATATGTTTGAAAAAGGATAATCCCATTGGGTCTACCTTTTTAAATTATAAAGAGTTAAACACTAGGTACTATAATGTTTGTTAATAAAAAGTCTAGCTTTTTCTTTAGTAAACAGAATGGCAAGCTAATCGTGGAAGATATATTATGTAATATTAAAGTGTAATTTACCAATACAAGTTTTGGCCAGAAGTTTTTTAATTAATTAGGTCCTGTCATTTTTAACCATTTTTCATTTGATGATAAAATTAACATACAAGAAATGTGTTATTGAGTGAATTAAGTTTTTTTTTTTTTTGCTTATTCCGAGCCTTGTAGGTCTATCGTCGCTTTTACTACACCTCTCAATGTCGTAGTTTTAAAATTCAAACGTACATAAAATTTTTCCTATATTGATGTTTCGAGTTTTCTATAGCAATTTAAATAAAACCTATGAAAACTTATTTTGAATTTTTAACCCAAGTTATAAATAGGTACAAAATTTTTATGATTTTCAACTACAAAATCACTTGCAAACTAATGCAATTTTTACAAATTTCGTAAAATTTGACTTTAGGGCTTAAAAATAAATATATTATGACAAACAATTTTGATTTTTAACTACAATAAGAAGAACTCATAAAGAACCCTATTAAATTATTAAGTTTTTGACAGTTCTAAATTTTTATCGAAAAATTTCAGAAAGATTTAAAATTTCAATTGTCTAATTTTAAGTATAGCAATACGTAACTGAACGAAGTACAATGG